CTCCTTTAGACACCCAGAGATTCACATTAATCAACAGGGGACAGTTAGGAGCCTTGTAAATGACAGATGATGCATGCATTAGCTTAAAAGATGAGAAATCTCTGTCGCTTCTACCTGTGAAGTACAAGAATTCATAGCTGCTCGGGCACATTAACTGTGATAGCGCCTAACATTTTCATTCATTTCAAAGCCATAAATTCAACCGACCATAGTCACTAAAGTGATAAATCCATGACCCAAGCTTAATCAAAGTAAGAGAAGTTCATGAGGTGAAGTTATAGTTGCTTGGATGAGCAACTTCATGCAGACATGTCCAATGACCCATGAGAGCCTAATGGGGGGCCCTTTTGTTTCTAAACATCATATAACCTGCCAGTGCTGAAGTGATGGGCTGTGCAGAGGAAGCGCGCTAAGATGAATGAATAATCACACCCAGCAGGTGGGACAGGTCTTGAAGTAGATGTGTTACGGTACAATATAATGCTTTTTGATGTTAAAGTAGTCGATTCAGAGTGTTTATGAGACGTCTGGATAGAAGCGCTTAGCCTGGTAATCAAACCCATTCCTTAAATTAATGGACAGGTTATATACTTTGTCGTTGGCTGACAGGCCAAAGCCTCTCCTGAATCTTAAATCTTCAGATAGTTAAGGCGAAGCAAAGATTAAGCAGAGGAGTGCTTTTTAAGCGTAAACTGGCAGATTGTCAAGCCTGCTGTGGGAAGTTGGGTAACTCATACATCTTGTTGTAGAGCAGATTGCACTCAGTGGGGGATGCACCTGGCATGCTTAACCTCACTGCCCAGGGCTCCTGTGAAATAAAAAGGGCATCGGTCCAAAACTCTGCTCCGTGGCGCTTATCATTCCTTCCCTGCTGGCTCCGAGGAGTTTTTACTCATCGCCACTGCATCGGAACAGATAATGTGATGGATTTGTACGGAGTGGTGCTGAGTTTGTCATCGGAGTTGTGTCAAATTATGAGACGAGCAGACCCCTTAAGAACAAAAGGCAGAAATTGAGACATAGCATCATGACACAGGACTGAGCATAACTTAGCAGTGAGCAGATGCTCAGTTTGAAGAAGTGACAAGTTATGATTGGTGATGGTTTAGTCTCGTGGTTTTTTTTCTGATGCTCTTCATCTTTTTGGCAGCTTATTTGGCCAGAACAAGCATACAGGGCTTCCATAACATTCTCAAACTCCACAACTACCTTAAACTTCTGCCCTTTCTTACTCCCAATGTGAAAAGGGATCCATCCAGCTACCCATCCATCTTCTTTCATTTATTCAGTTCAGGGTCTGTCGCAGCCGTTAGAGGCTGGGCACAACCTGCACAGGCCACCAATCTGTCACAGGGCTAACAGGTAGAGACAGACAACCACCGATGCTCATATTCCACCTTAGCCTAAATTTCGACACTTCAACCTGAATTACTGAAGTCAGGAAGAACAGACTGAACTCTGTCAGACTGACCTGCAGGTTGAAAAGTGACACTAAAGTGACAGATAGGCCTGGATTTACAAAACGTGCAAAAAAGTGTGTGAGAGGGTGATTTACAAAAGAGCCAAGGTCGCAAACTAAGACATGATATTCAACTAATAAGGCAGGTGTAGCTCGTTCATTGTAATTGAAAAAGCATATAAATATAGGTTAGAGATTATAATGCAAACAGGCTTCATTAATGAGTGAACTGAAAACCTTGTGCGCTGTCTATGGTGCTGAAATTATAACAGTTTCATTTAAAAAGATTTATTCAACTCAAAATTGAAGCTTATCGACACAAATACACTGAAAAACAATCAAACCAATTCGAAACATCAAAATGAAAATGGACCACTGTTAAGACTTTCCAAGCCAGGCTTCCATCCAAGTGCTCATTATGTTCAGAAAAGGGTCCAAAGTTAATGTTGTCATCCCTCCGTTCTCTTGATTCTTCAGCGGTGTGGAAGTCCGGCCACAGAAGCCACAGAAGAAAAGAACCTGATAACAAAAACTGAAGATATGCAAGACGTTTTGTTACCTTTGGTGTTGCGTGACT